CCCAACTGGGGATGTGCCCGCAACCAAGGTACATGCCCTTGACCGGAATCGAACCCGGGACCCTTCAGTCCGCAGGCCGATGTTCTATCCACTGAGCCAAACCAGCTAGGGCGAAGTTATTATTATTATTCTAAATATATTCTTATTGATTTCAGAGAGACAGGGAGAGGGAGAGAGAGAGAGAAACATCACTGATGAGAGAGAACCATTGATCGGCCGCCTCCTGCAGGCCCCCAACTGGGGATCGAGCCCACAACCCGGGCATGTGTCCTTGACCCGAATAGAACCCAGGCCCCTACAGACCACAGGCCGATGCTCTATCCACTGAGCCACACCAGCTAGGGCAATAAGTTTTTTTTTTTTAAATACAGATTTGAACAAGCCAAAGGAATAAGAAAAGGACACTGGGACTTGCAGACCTTCTAGAATGTTCCTTGTCCTCCTCTGGTCCATGCTGGGTCCGGGGGAGGGGAGGACCATGCTCCGAGTGGTGGGCTGCTGACGCCAGGACCCCTCACAGAGAGGAGGGGGGCGTGAGCCACCCTGGGGATGTCCGTCCGTCCCTCTGTCCGTCCCTCTGTCTGTCCGAGCACCCCTCACCCCCCATGCCCAGAAGTCTGCTCCCCGAGGGGCCTGGGCCTGAAGGATCTCAGTTTCCTCCCTCCTCCTCTTTCCAGGCAGCCTCCCCGGCCGGCCCAACAGGTCTGTCCACTCCGACCGTGTCCGATGGACAGGAATGTGTCATGGCCTGTTTGTCAGGATGGATTGCCCTGCAGGCTGGCCCAGGGCTCAGGCGAGGGCACAGCCCTGACAACCTTACACGCCTTCCTTCCTGGGATACAGAGTGAGGCCAAAACACGGGACAGATACACACACACCAGCTGGGCGCCACCGGGCAGCTGGCAGGCCACGCGCTCACACATCCCTGGCCTGGGGCAGGGTGAACTGTGCTACACAGACACAAGCGGGGGTGGGGTGCCGGTCAAAGCAGGGAGCAGTGGCCCTGGCCGGGTTGGCTCAATGGATAGAGCAGGGGTCCTCAAACTACGGCCCGTGGGCCACATGCAAATACAAATATTGTATTTGTTCCCGTTTTGTTCTTTTACTTCAAAATAAGATACGTGCAGTGTGCATAGGAATTTGTTCATAGTTTTTTTTTAAACTATAGTCCGGCCCTCCAACGGTCTGAGGGACAGTGAACTGGCCCCCTGTTTAAAAAGTTTGAGGACCCCTGGGATAGAGTATCAGCCTGCGGATTGAAGGGTCCCAGGTTCCATTCCCGCTCAAGGGCACATGACTGGGTTGTGGGCTCGATCCCCAGTAGGGGACGTGCAGGAGGCAGTCGATCGATGATTCTCTCTCATCACTGATGTTCCTCTCTCTCCCTCTCCCCTCCTCTCTGAAGTCAATTTAAAAAATATCAAAAACAAAGAAAAACAGGTAGCACTGTGAAGAAAACCATCTAGCCTGCACGCGGGCGCACACACACACACACACACACATCACCAAAACCCCCCAAAGTAAAGCTATGTGTTTCATTCCCGTTTAGATCTTTTTCTCAACTCCACTTGGAAGGGTTCTTTTGTTTCCGTCTCTCCCCTTCCCTTCCCCTCTCTCTCTAAAAATCAATGGAAAAATATCGCCGGGCGAGGATTCACCAAGAAAACCCCAAAGAGATATGTCAACGTCATTTCCAAAGCATGCCAGCCTCCAAGGGTTATTATTATTATTATTATTATTTTAAAAATATTTTAAATACGTTTTTATTGATTTTCAGAGAGAGAGAAAGGAACACCAATGAGAGAGAAGCATCACGGACCGGCTGCCTCCTGCACGCCCCTTACTGGGATGGAGCCCGCAACCCGGGCACGTGCCCTGACCGGGAATCGAACCGTGACCTCCTGGTTCCTAGGTCGATGCTCAA